GTATTTTATGTCCTTTGTAATATCCCATCATGTAAAGTGACCCCATGATTTTAGGTGATCCTAAAAAGCACACTTTGCTCAGTGACTGTATAAAAACATGACTTTAATCGATGACTCCAACATAACTCCCTGCATGCTTTATCTTCTATCTTTCTGGTAAGAGGTGAGAAGGAAAGCTGCCTTACTTTAGTATGTCACTAGGAAATGATTTTCTTATCAAGTAAATTAGGAGATCCACAATATTGTAATACCCATTACCTCCAAATATTCTGATTCTCCCTCTCTGTACATGTATTTCTTTCTCTGCCCAACTTGATTATAAATACCACAAAGTTCTGGTCTAAAAATCCAGTCTCACTGGAAATTATGCCACTGTAGTTTACGTGAGGACCCCTACTATTACCCATCTCTGAAATTTCAAAGTATGAAACCAAACGTTTTGTCTGAAATAGCATCTGAGGAGAAACAAGACTTAATAGTTATCACTAATGTAAACATTCAGAAATAGTAAGGTTCTAGACCTCTTTTAAAGCCATAGAAGAGGGACACCTGGGTGGCTCAGTAAGTTAAGCGTCTGCCTTCAGTTCAGGTCATGATCCCAGTGTCCTGGGATCAAGTCCTGCCTCGGGCTCCTTGCTCAGCAGGGAACCTGCTTCTCCCTCTGCCTGCTGTCCCCCCTGCTTGTGTGCACACTCTCTCTGACAAATTAAAAAAAAAAAAAATCTTTAAAGCCAGAAGATATTCTCATTTCACAATTGAAGATACAAAGTAACAAAGTCATACTGTTATTCTCTGACAATTCAAATATGGAAGAGAGTAGTACTGAGTTCTGGGTGTCCAGGTGCCAGTTATCATTAGGTCTATGCCAGCTGTCCACATTGAAATAATTAAAACAACTAATAAGCCTTCAAGATTATCATTATTGTTGTTTTGGTTTTACATATCCCCTATAAATGAGCTGGAATAAGAAATTAAAACTACATAAGTTAGGAAGATAAAATGATCTCATGACTCCTTTCCCAATAATCATTTATAACACTAATAAAAGTGAAGCAAAGCAAGGTCAAACACCATCAGTAGGTTAAGGCAGGTCCTACCTGAGTAGTTCAGTTTCTCTCTTTTTTTTTTTTTTAAAGATTTTATTTATTTATTTGACAGAGAGAGATCACAAGTAGGCAGAGAGGCAGTCAGAGAGAGAGGAGGAAGCAGACTCCCTGCTGAGCAGAGAACCCGATGCGGGGCTCGATCCCAGGATCCTGAGATCATGACCCGAGCCGAAGGCAGAGGCCTAACCCACTGAGCCACTCAGGCACCCCGTTCAGTTTCTCTTAATGAAGAGCCCTTTACAAATTCTACTTTTTTTGTTTGTTTTTTAATAAAACAAGACACGCAGTGATTATAGGAATCTATAGCGCTAGTCATCCCTAGAATTCCAAATACATTATTAAGAGTAGGACAAGATATTTTGATGATCTTTATTAGTAAATTAAAGCACTGTTTTAACTGTAAAATATTGGTTTGGCAAAGGGGCTCACTGGTTAAGTTCTTTCTCCATTTATTTTCTACTTGAATTGATGAAAGCCCCAATAATATCAATATACACAAACCTAAGAATTTAATTTAAAAGGATAATAAATTAAATCACACTCGTAAGCCTGTAAGCGCATACAGCAAATTAATCCAGATGCTTAGGGGTATGACTATATATCCCCAACTGCCTGGATTTAGTTAATATCCTTACACTAGCCTTCACTGTGTGACCTTGGACAAGTATTCAACCTGTATGTGCCTAAATTTTGGCACCTCTAATTGTGCTATACAATATGGTAGGCACTAGCTGCAACTGAAACATTTTAATTAATTTAAGCTTAAATTAAGTAAAATTAAAAATTCAGTTCTTTGGTAGCACTTGCCACATTTCAAGGGCTCAAGAGCTAGATGTGGCTAGAGGCTACCATACTGGACAACACAGACATAGTGATAAAAACAAGTAAGACAATATGACTGAGAGTAACAAATATGATCAAGGGGGCAGGAATGACTACATTAGATTTAGTGATCAGAAAAGGCCTCCATGAGGTGTTGACATCTGAGATGAGACTTGACTAACAAGACATAGCTAGAATGCAAAGATCTGCATACAGCCTCCAAAGCAGAGGCAAGAGCAAGGGCATAGGCCTCCAGCACAAATAAGCCTGACTGGTTTAACCACAACAAAGCATGTCTGAAGCACAAGAGGTAAGGGGAGAGTAAAACTGGGTACAAGAAGTGGCAGGAGGCAGGGCTTCATGGGCCTTATAAACAATGTAAGAACCTCAGATTTTATATAAACTGCAATTAAAAGCCATAGAGTTATAAAGGGGCATGTCATGATCTAAATTGTCTTTAAAAGCTCACTCTGGCTGCTTTTGGAAAATAATTACAAGAAGCCAATAGTGGAAGCAGGAAGTTCTGTGACAAGACGGGTGCCACTGCCCAGATGAAAGAAGAGCGGGGGAGTGGCAGTGGGATGGAGAAAATGTGTTGTTTCCTCTACATCCCGTGTCCACCGTCCTGGATCCCCCATCCTTCACAACCTGGCCCCTTGAAAAAGTCAACTTCTTTTTTTAGCTCCTCAATGGCCTGTAAATATGCCTTGCGCCTCCACCAGTCCACAGAAACTGTCGTAAGGTCCCACTCACCTGCATCTTCCCCAAACCAATGGGCACTCATGCATTCTTACCTCAGCTGACCTCAGCTGCATCTGCAACTGCTGACGCTCTGCCGTTTCATCAAATCCTCTCCTCCCTGTGCTTCCCAGCATTGCTCTCACCTGGTTTTCCTCTCTTTCTCTGTCTTCTTCCCATTAACCTCTACATGACTCAAAGAGCAGCCTCCTCTAAGGGTTCATCTTCAGTACTCAGTTCGCTTCACTGCATACACCATCTTGGAGACTGAACTGACCCTTCTGGCTGGTAATCCTCAAATTAACATCGCTGGCCCGGGGGGAATTACTAACTTCTAGACCTCTAGATTGTGTTTGACTGCACTCCCTCCCTTGGACATACCAGAAACATTTCACATGCAAAAGGTCCAAAGCCTACCTCCTTCATTCTCTCTCATCAAACGTCCTCGCCCAGGCCAAAGGCCTTCTCAGCTCTCTCAGTCATCAGCTACGCCCCCACCACCGGATGATCTCCACTAGGTCCTGCAGACTCTACCTCCTGAATGGCTTCCCACTCTCTCTCTTCCTCTCAAGTCCTGCTGAGGTGATTTTAGTTCAAGCTCACAAGGCTTCTTGGATTATTGGAACAACCTCCCACCAATCTCCCTGCTTTCCATCTTGCCACACTGCCACCAAAGCCCAGAACAGGATGAATGTGAATACAAACCACCATGTCCTTTCTCTGCTGCAAGTCTTTCAAAGGCGTCCCACCATTTCCACAGGTTTCTCCTGATTAAACTCTTTACCACCTTTACAGCCTCATCTCCCCACACCCTCTTCTTCAGGCATGGAGCTCTTCTTAGTTCTCTAAATGTCACCTCATTTCAGGCCTCCCTTCCTCTGCACACCCTATGACCTCTTCCCTACGCACCTATTACTTCGAAGGTGGGCTTCCGTATGACCACTTCAGGGAGTGTCCGCTAGTGCCAATACATATATGTGCATGTATGGATATACACACACACACGTGTATCAATCATGCCGTATGGCTGTTAATTTTTGTCCCAGTAAACCACAGCTCCTAGAGGGCAGGGACCGCCCCCCTTATTTGCTCTGCAGCACTACTGACCAGCACAGAGTAAATATGCACAGATACTTCCGATTTGGTATCTTCTACATTTAAGAAACGGGAAGGAGGGGCTCCTGGGTGGCTCAGTGGGTTAAGCCGCTGCCTTCGGCTCGGGTCATGATCTCAGGGTCCTGGGATCAAGTCCCGCATCGGGCTCTCTGCTCAGCAGGGAGCCTGCCCTCTCTCTCTCTCTCTCTCTCTGCCTGCCTGTCTACTTGTGATCTCTCTCTGTCAAATCAATAAAATCTTAAAAAAAAAAAAAAAAAGAAAAAGAAACGGGAAGGAGTTTATTTACTGGGCCTTTTCTCACTATTCCAGTATAGCACAAAATGACCAAAATGACAGCGCGGTACTACAAAACCAAATGTGCTTCAGGTGGGAAATACGAAGAAACCAATAAACACATATGGGAGAAACGTGGGAAATTCTGAGAAGCTATGCAGTAGCTAAGAAACCAACTTGGGACTTCATACTACCTGGACAAGGGCTTACTTAACACTGCTTGATGATAATGACAGGTGGAAGGCGTCTCTTCGCAGTCAAGGAACTTAACTTTTCCTGGCCGTGTTGCTGTAATTTTCGTTCCTACCGTCGATTCGCCCTCACTTCCTGACAGGTTTTCCTTATGTGCTCCCATATAAGGAAATACATATTTTTATTACTCACCACCTCAGGAGTCACTCACTTGTCAATCAGAGATTTATTCTCTACATCTGAATGGGGGGGGGGGCTGGAAGAAGGGAGACCTGGCGATGATGAACACTTTCAGGAGGGAGGGTGGCAGAAGGCCCCAGGGATGGAGGAGAGGGCGGGAGGTTGAGGCAGTACCGGGGGAGAGCGCTGACAGCTGGCAAGGCACGGGAAGGAGGATGCGATCGCCGAGCAAGCCGTGCGGAACAGGGAACGGTGGAGGGAGGGGGAGATGGAGAGGGCACTCGGAGAGAAAGCTGGGGCGGAGGGCGAGGGCAGTGGAGTCGGCAGAGGCGACAGGAAGCAAGGCGCAGTTCTGGCCAGAGGGCGAAGGTTCAGGAGAGAGCTGGGCGAGAGGAAGACAACACCGACGCCGCCAAGGCGGACGGAGCTGTAGGACGAGGAGGGCAGGGGATCAGCGCGGGGCGAAGAGGGAAGAGCTGGGGGAACGAGGCACTCTGAAGGCAGCCGCAGCGGGGCGGCTAGGAGACCCGAACCCGCGTTGGAGCGGGGGAAGGGAGAGGCGGGGGCACTTACTGGGGTCCCTCCGCACGGCGCCGCTGGGGGTCTCCTCCCGCAGATGAGGGAAGAGGAAGTCCCGGGCGGCCTGGAGGTCCTGGAAGTAGCAGAACTGGACAATGGAGCAAGCCATGGCTCTGGGAACCCCGCTCGGGCACCCACCTCACCTCACCACGCCCTGCCCCCCGAGACCCCACGGCTTCCACAGCCGAGTCCGCACTGCTTTAGCCGCGCAGGGGCGGGGAAACCAAACCGGAAGCTGTCAGCGCGCTCCGGCCCGCCGCCTCGGAGCGCTGCGCATGCGCAGAACGGCCCAGGCCGGCCGGGGGACTGGCGAGGTCCGAGTCATGTGACCGGCGGCTCCCGGGGAACCAACGTCGACGTGGACCCTGGCTGCCGGGTTTCGTCCCGGCTCTGCGCCGACGCCCGGGAACGAACCCTTTTATTCGTTCTGGCTTTAAGCCAGAGATGACCTAATTGGACGTTGTGCTCGCCAGCCTCTGAGTCATTTAACCAATCTTATTGATGTCCTACTGTTGGCACGATCCTGATATTCCAGAGAAGAATCCCTGTTAAACTCAGCGCAGGCCAGAGGGGGACGGTCCACCACACAAGCCTGAGTTTGAAGAGCTTGCTTTCTCTTTTGGAAATCAGCCCCGTGAAGACTAACGTTTAAATGCTCCTTCTGTAAATTCCCATAGTACTATGCACGGCCTAATATAGTAGGGGTTACGCTGTATTACAGACTTTTAAGTTTTGGACACCCACTTGGTTTTTCATTCATTCTAACGTTCATCCGTCCATTCAGCGAATATTTGTTGCTGCTCTTTTCTATGCCAACCACGCGAGGCGCTGGGTATGAAGCAGAGAATAAAAGGGATGAAATACTTGGTCCACGGGGCTAAAATTTTAGTGGCAGTTAGACAGTGAGCAATTAATTACTCAACTATTTAACTGAAATCGTGACAATGCTAGGAAGGGGAGAAGGACAAAGTGGTTGGACAGAACATGACAGGGGACCCTTAAAAAGTGGTTGTCTCTTTAGTCTTGTTGGGGTGGGTGTGGAGGGTTGCAGAATCAAGAACAGACTTTGTTGCAAGCTCTCGGAGGTTGGGATCTCATTTAACTCCTCTTTGTATCCACAGTGTCTAGCATAGGACCTGGCAGGTAGTGCTTAATAAATATTTACAGAAGGAGTAAGTGGAATGGAGTGTCTACACAAAGTAAATAGAGTAGCCCACTTCTATTACATGGCACTTTATATTTTTTTAAGTATTTTTCTGACCATTGTTTGGGTAGTCACAATGCCATCTTGATAGAGTGTGGCTTATCTCACTTTTTTTAAAATAAAGAAATTAACCTATTATGCCTCCATCAGAAAGGATGAATACCCAACTTTTGTAGCAACATGGACGGGACTGGAAGAGATTATGCTGAGTGAAATAAGTCAAGCAGAAAGAGTCAATTATCATACGGTTTCACTTATTTGTGGAGCATAACAAATACCATGGAGGACAAGGGAGATGGAGAGAAGGGAGTTGAGGGAAATTGGGAGGGGAGGTGAACCATGAGAGACTATGGACTCTGAAAAACAAATTGAGGGTTTTAAAGGGGGGGGTGTGGTGGGAGGATGGGGGAACCAGGTGGTGGGTATTAGAGAGGGCCCAGATTGCATGGAGCACTGGGTGTGGTGCAAAAACAATGAATACTGTTACGCTGAAAAGAAATAAAAAATTTAAAAAAAAAGAAATTAACCTAAATGTCGTTGAGAAGACTCTTGAAGTTCATTTATGTAATTTTTTTCCTAAAAAACAAAAAGGAATGATTTTAATGTTAGCACAAAGCACCATAGACACTCACATACTTCCCAAAACCCAAAATAGAAAACTAATGTGGTCATCCACTTTATAGACAGAAAATGGGATGGAAATTAACTGAAGGCATATAGATGTAGTCCAGAACATTCATGTCTGTTAGGCCTGTGTACACAGTCCTAAAAATACAAATATAATTTAGTGTCCAGGATCCTACTCCATTAATTCCTCTTTCTAGAGTAGAATGGTTGTCACAAAATTAGCTAATCTATGTTATCAGCTAAATAAGGATCAGTTCTCACCTATAAAGTACGTGGGTGGGTTAGATGTGCTATAAGTTTCCTTAAGCATCAGAGACCTGTAATTCCAGGACGCAAGCGTGCAGAAAAGGCAAACTTTCAATGCTTCCATTTTCCATCTGAAAAAAAAAAAATGGAATGTTTCTTCAGATCATCCTGTCCTGGTGATTAAAGTCCCAAAATATGGCACCAATACCAACCTAGAATAAATTTTAAATTTATATTCCTAGATTTGCAGGATGAATAAAGAACACGTGATACTTTTTGGAAGGATACAGTGTCATTCCTTGAAAACCATTCAAGTTCCTATTCAGGTAAATACATTTTGTGGAAGTAACTGCCTTTGGCTGCTTCAGCTGGCCTTTGTTCTTCCCTGAGGCATTCATATATCTCCTGTGTCGTAGCCATTGAATTTCATTATTGCTGGGTTTCAATGGCGAAGTCCCTGACTTCCTTCCAAGTGTATTGAAAAGGCTCATTCATGAATGCTTTGAAGGACTTCAGATACCCTTCACAGAAATTACAACACATTCATGAACTGAACTCTTCCCCCAGGAAGTTGTAAAGCTGCAGGGGGAGGCCTCTGGAGTTCTGCTGCCATGGTTTCTGTGAGTGTGGGAGGATTGTGTTAGACAGGGAACATCACTAACCACACAGTCACAAGGAAGCACATTGCAGAAAATGTGCAGGCTTTACACATCCCAAAATAGACTGTGTCTTTCTGAGGTAAGAGTTCGGGAGCTAGGAAAAGCACCACAATAATCCAGATTCTGTGACCAAAATAATCACAGGAGGGTACTAACATGAGTTCTCCAGAATCCATGATTGTGAGTTAGAGCGCTGGTAACTGTGGTTAAAAGAGAGAGAGATGCCTCCTGAACATGGTCAGCAGCAGGTCCTTGCCCATCTTTAACAACACCCTGAAGTTGAAGGTACTGAGATACAGGAAGGGAGGAGAAGTGTGAAAGAAAGAACAATGGTCTTAGAGTCAGGAGATCGTGGCTCAATCTCAGACCACTAATAAGTCACATGAACTTGGGCAATTCATGTCACCTTCCTGGACCTTTGTCTCTTCATCTGTAAAATGAAGAGAAGGACTCTGAAATCTGTCTCAGAGATGCGCAGTTTTGGTAAGAAACTGGGAAGGAAAGGGTCTCAGAGTTTGAGTGCCTTAAGAGGAGGGATCTCTGTAGACACCCCAGTAAGAGGCATGGGTGGACAGGAGTGACCACGAAAGCACTGAGCATCTCTAAGTGCGAGAAAGGAGAGAGGGAAAAGAGGATAGATGGATACTGAAAACTTACGTCGTAGTTTTACAGAAGGTCACCCCTGAATTGAGGTCTGAATTGAAGTGTGAGCAAAAGCAAGGCCTGTATACAACTAGGCTTTATTCAACAAACACCTACAGAGGATAACATCTAATTTATTATAGTAGAGGTAATGTGGTAAACACAGCGAGGTGATAAGGATGGGCCCTTCGGAGATTCACTACCTAACCGGGAAACAAACTACAAATGATTCTAACGAAAAGCAGAGTGTGATGAGGGTTGTGGGTGACTTTTGGTTCTCATACAGGGCTGTGGGAGAAAAAAGGGAAATCAGTTTTGTTTTGTTTTGTTCTTTAGTAAGATTTAATTTATTTATTTGACAGAGGGAGACACAGCAAGAGAGGGAACACAAGCAGGGGGAGTGAGAGAGGGAGAAGCAGGCTTCCTGCTGAGCAGGGAGCCCGATGCAGGGCTCCATCCCAGGACTCTGGGATCATGACCTGAGCTGAAGGCAGACGCTTAACAACTGAGCCACCCAGGCATCCCGGGAAATCAGTTTTGATTGGGAAGCTTGTCCAGTGGAAAAGGAGTGGTGACGAAGAGGTATGAAAGCTGATGAATACATTGTTCCAGATTATAGAGAACCTCAAAGTCCCAACACTACTATCTGAATTTTATTCTGCATACAAGGCGTAGCCAATTGAAGATTTTTTTAGAAGGTAGAACAGGTTGAGGTAACAGTATGTGGCATAAATAAACACACAGACCCCTCAAGATATCATGAAAATATTCTAAATGAGATGTAATGACAGTGGAAAGTCAGTCCCACTCTGGAGGACAACTCAGTGAATTTTTAGTATATGATTAGATATGGGTAGTAGAGAGGGAAGATGAGAGTCAAGGTGACCGATGTTCAAGTGCATTGTGCAAAGAACTATGGAGATGGCAATGTCATGTCAGCAACCAAAAGAGAGAATGTCAAGGGAGGAATGGATTTGGGCCAACAGGAATTGGATGAATTCAGTATTGGATGAATTCAGCATAGGTTGTGTTAAATTTGAGGTGCCTATGGAAGAACTAGGTTTAAACATTTTTTTTTTATATACAGAAGTTAGAAATATGGGATTAGAGATGCCAGAGGTAGCCAATGGAGGAAGAGCTCTAGTAAAGGAGACTGGAAAAAAGCAAAGAAGTAAACATACATAGTAGTACCATGTCGCAAAGTCCACGGGAAGCAGAAGGAAATTTCACGACCGGTGAATCTATTGTGTTGAGTTTAATAAAGAATTGAAAGGGAGTAAAAGCCAAGAAGCGGTGATTGCATATAGTAGGTAGAAAGTCACAACTGATTATCCGGTTTATGGAATACCAAACTCTGTTTCCTTGGCAGAAAATATGTTACCTGACTTCAGAGATAGCTTATTTTTCTAACAGCCACAGGGGCTAGTTACAGCATCTTTTTCTTTTTAACTCTGGCTAAAGGAGAAACTTTTTAGAGAGAGTAAGAAGGGTTTTTTTTTTTTTTATTGGCATTTAGCAGTTAGGGAAAGAAGAACTAACTTCACTAAACTTTAAGTGTTTTATTGCTTGCTTGAATGTAAGAAAATATATTTATATTTTTCATATTTTCTAATATTTACATTGGGCCCAAATCTATAATGCCATAGAGAAGATATTAGCATACTTAGTTTAAAAAATATAGGTACTATGGTGCTTATAAATCTCCATCTTTATGTGTGTGTGTGTCATTCA